TGGAGCTGGAGCGGCTCACGCGAGAGAAGCAGGCGGAGCTGGAGCAAGTGCACGGCAGGTGGGTGCCGGGCTGGGCCAGGGGCCTCGGGGAGCACGGCGGGGGCCACGCTCGTTCTCCAAGCAGCTGACGTGGCCGCTGGGGGCTCTGTGTGTGAGGGTCCCGGTCGTGTCTCCCTGTGGCACTTGGCCCCAGGACCCCCGCTTGGTTGGAGCGAGTGCTGTGCGGGATGGGTGGAGGCCCCACGAGGGCAACAGTGAGGGTCGGCACACCCCTGGGACCCCTCCACCCTTCCTGGTCACCTGTCCGTCCTCGGGCCCACCCGCCGCAGGCACTTTGAGGGCAGCCTGGGGTCGGGGCCCTCGCCCTTCTTGAGGCGCGTGCCAGCGCCCCCGCTGCGGGTCCGGCTCGCGTGGAGGCTGGTTCTCCGGGCATCGGCCTGGGGCGGGCCGTGGGGCCACAGCTCTGGTTTTCCACCCCTCCAGCTGGCCCAGTGCCCTCAGCAGGACTGGAAACGGGGCAGGACAGCTGCTCCTCCTTTCCCATGGGGGTGGGGATCCCCACCAGCCACATTACTGCTCTCGGAGCCACGGTTGGGTTTGGGGCCTGGGTAGGGGCACCCCACAGAACCCCACCATGTGTCCCCTGCAGGGTGAAGACGGCCTTGGCAAAGAAGGAGGAGGCCGTGAGCAGCCTCCGGAGACAGCACGAGGTGAGTCCCGCGGTGGCTGGCCGGCGGGAGGGGGCAGCCCGGGCCTGACCACGTTGGGTGCGTGTTGCAGGCCGCGATGAAGCGGGCTGACCACCTGGAGGAGCTGCTGGAACAGCGCAGGCGGCCATTCCCCAGCACCAAGTGACTGCCTGCCACCCACGGCGTGGACAGGCCAACGGCAGCAGGGCTTCGGGTCCCGGCAGGAGGTGGACACCGCCCCGGCCTCCCTCCGTCCCTCTGGCCCGTGCTCGGTGTCTGGCGGGCAGAGCACCATGGCTGCATTTTAATAGTAAAGAAATGTTTCTTAACACTGTGTATGCCCTGCCTCGTGTCTCTCCTGGGCTGGGGTCTGGGATGGAGGCTGCCCCCGGGGCCCCTCTGCAGAGCGGCCAGGCAAGGGTCGTCCTGGCCCAGCTCTGCCTTCAGCCTGACTCCCCGTGTTCCTTGCCTGGCCCCGTCGAACCCCGGCTGGCATCCTCTGTTCCAGCCTGGTCCTAGCCGAGCTCCCCAGCACGCACAGCCCCTCGCCGGCAACCTCCCGCGGGAAGGAGCGCTAGCCTCCTCCCCCACCCCTGCCGGGTGCCCCCCATCCACAGCCCTCTGCTGGAGCCCTGTGGAGACGGGCCCTGGACAGGCCTGCCCACGAGGAGGGCGGAGTCCAGAGGGTGCAGCTCCTCGGGGGGTTCGCTGTCCCCTCCTGCTGGGCTCTGCTGCTGCTGCCCCAGCCGCAGGGGCTGGACCCAGGACTGGGGCCAGCCTATGCTGGCCAGGAAGGCCGTCCTGCTGCCATGGTGTTGGGGATCCCCCTGCTGGTAGGGTCGCTGCAACCCCTCACCATCGACGGCCTTGGGGGATTTGGGCTCTTGCTGGCCGAGTCCCAGTGAAGGCTGGTCTCAGTGCTCGGAGGACAGGGGCATGTGTCGGGGCCTCGGCCTTCGCGTCTGCGCAGACGGCGTCCATCTCCCCAGAAGAGCAAGAGGACAGGCCCCTCCCACCGACCCCTCAGAGCCCAGCCTGGGGGCGCGTCAAGTGCAGGCCTCGCTCTCACACACATGCAACGGGGCCAGTGGACATGGGAGTCCGGCGTACAGGAGAGCGGTCTGGGTGGCAGCTGCTGGTGTCCAGATGGTACTTAAACCAGAGAGCGGGAGCCGAGCAGGTGGGCAAGTGTGGGGGGAGCAGAGGCTTGGGGTGGGCCAGGTGGGGGCTCTCCCCTCGGGAAAGCATGGGGAGCAAGGGGCCACCAAGGGGAGGCAGGGGAGGCAGGACGCGCGGGCAGAGAACCACCCCCTAGATGTGTCCACCCCGGAGTGCATGGTCCAGGGGACGTGCCAGGGCTCCTCGGCTGCACCCTGAGGCCGTAGGTGCTCACGCGCTGCTGTGTGGACTCCAGCCCGGCTCGAAGCCTGAGCAGAGCCCGGCTGGGCTGGGGGAGGGGGGCCTCAGGGGCCTGGGCCCAGAGAGCTCCGTGCTGGGAGGCTGGCGCCAGGAGGGGCCAGAGCCTGGTGGTGGGACTGTCCTCCGTGGGAACCCGCAGTGAGCTGGGGACGGGGCAGGGGCAGGGGCAGGGGCGGGATGTGCCCGCCCACACAGCCTCCCGTTTTCCCTTCTGCACCCCGCACACCCGCCCCGCCACCAGCTGTCCCCAGAGACCCGAGACCCTGCTCCCACACAGCCCGCGCAGCACGCACACAGATGCACGGGCCACGTCGTTCATTTAATGTTTCTCTTCCATCTTA